ATATATATATATATATATATCAGTGATCGGATCAGATGCCATGTTTTGTACATATGCAGGAAATATAAATGATTTCGTGGCATCTTTTACTTTTCCTATCATTCTGTCATAATAATAAATAAACGTTTCCATCAGAAATCAACAAATGCTGCTTCTTTGTCACCTCTGAAATTATATTATCGTGCTTACGTAAGAATACTTACTTAAGATATATGATAAGCATTATTCATTATTATTACATCTCTCATTTTGATAATACAGAATATGTTAATATGTCCTTTAAATTTGGTATATCTTAATTTTTTAATGAATTTACCTTGATAGATGTGATTGTCGGTTTAATTCCTTATCCAAAGTACAAGCGCATGTGTATCCGTTCTCCTGATTTAGCATGCGCAATTTGGAACACGGGTTGGAAAGACATGGATTGTTAATCTGAAATTTGATTGAAAGATAAGACAATCTTTTTGCGACTTTTTATAATAGAAAAGTAACATTACATTACTATGATGCGTACTTGAGGGTTTAGCACTTTGTGTTTGATATACACATTATAAAGATCACATTTAGTGATATAACGTAAGTTTTAAATCCTTTCCAATAAATTTATTGCAAGACCATATGTTGTACATCATCGGTCCAATATAACATATTTTCTAACTGCTACTGAGCTGCGAGCTGCAAATAATTAAGTTACATAAATATATTGCAGAATCAGTAAAATCTCGATTGTGTCTTAAAAAGTACAATATTTCATAATAAGAAAGAAACAAACTCTTAACTCTTCGATCGCTCCAAGAGTATTGATTAGATCTTCTTTAATTTGATATCCACTCAATATAATCGATTGGTCGGATAATCAAGTCAGATTTCTCGGCGCTTTTAAATTATCAGAGATTAATGTATGAATACATTTTATGTTTCCATTCCCGCCATTGCTATACGTGGATTAGAACCCCAATTGCATCAATACATTTTTCTATGAATATAATATAATATAATATAATATATACTTAATATATTTTTATACTATCTTGTTATATTTCTAAAATAAAATTTAGAAAACCAGTTTAGTTTATATAATAAGACTAAATATAATAAGAATAAATATTGAAAATGAAAATTATTTC